CTGTGACACCCAGCCAACTGTATTCTTTTATTTTTTATTTTTTTGTGGGTCGGAGTCTCGCTCTGTCACCAGGCTGCAGTGCAGTGGCATGATCTCAGCTAACTGCGATCTCCACCTCCTGGGTTCAAATGATTCTCCTACCTCAGCCTCCCTAGTAGCTGGGACTACAGGCACGTGCCACCATACCCAGCTAATTTTTTACTTTTAGTAGAGACAGGGTTTCACCATGTTGGCTGGGATGCACTTGATCTCTTGACCTTGTGATCTGTTCACCTCAGCCTCCCAAAGTGCTGGGACTACAGGTGTGAGCCACCACACCCAGGCTTTTTTTGTTGTTGTTGTTGAGATGGAGTCTAGCTCTGTGGCCCAGGCTAGAGTGCAGTGGTACGATCTCGGCTCACTGCAACCTCTGTCTCCTGGGTTCAAGCAATTTTCTGCCTCAGTCTACCAAGTAGCTGGGATTATAAGCACCTGCCACCATACCCAGCAAATTTTTGTATTTTTAGTAGAGATGGGGTTTCATCATCTTGGCCAGGCTGGTCTTGGACTCCTGACCTTGTGATCCACCCGCCTTGGCCTCCCAAAGTGCTAGGATTACAGGAGTTAGCCACGACGCCCAGCCCAAATGTATTCTTAATTAGCTTCCTGAGGAAGAGTGCAAGGGAAGTAAATTTTTGTAGACCTTGTAGGTTTTTACATTTTATAGTTTGGCTGGGTATAAAATTGAAGATTGGAAATACTTTTTCTTCATTTTAAAGTAATTTTTCAATTGTATTCTAGCTTCCAGGTAATTATAGAGAAGTCTGATATTATTGTGACTCCACAACCTTTGTCTATAACCTCTTACTTCTCTCTGAAGTTTATTGATCTTCTCTTATTCTTGATGTTCTGACATTTCAGTATTTGATATATCTTTGTGTGGTCTTGCTCTGTTTATTGGGCTGGCTACTTGTGTGATCACATTCCGTGTAGAAACTTACGTCCTTCAGTTCTGTGAAATTATCTGGTTTTATTTTATAATTCTTATCTTTTCTCTGATTTTACACTCTTCATCTTTTTATTCTACTTTGCATGTTTAATTTCCAATAAATCATTCTAGTTTTTGTTTAATGGCATCCTGACCTTTTATCATCTTTTAGAATATTGATTATAATTTTTAATATATCCTTTATATTTTTCAAAACATATCTGAACCATACACTTCAGAAAAGTATACTTAGTGAACATATAGTTAGTGATTGTGCTAGAGAGTGAGATATGGGGGATATAAGTGTAAAACATTGGACTTATTTTTTGGGAGTACAAAGTTGTTTGGGGAATTAAGAAGTATGTTCACATGAAATGATCATTGAGAATACTCACTTTATAATTAACCCTAAATGACTAGCACAAACAGTAAATGTTATAAAAGTTCAGATGAAGAAAAATGTTTTAGTGTGAAATAAGGAAGATTTAAGCTATACAGTGCTTGTCTAATTAAAATAACAGGCTGATTACTACCTCAGGCTTAAGAAATCCAAAAAATACATCAAAATGATTCTTTTAAAATTCAGTTTTTCTTTTTTTTTTGAGACAGAGCTTCACTCTTGTTACCCAGGCTGGAGTGCAATGGCATGATCTCGGCTCACTGCAACCTTGGCCTCCCAGGTTCAAGCAATTCTCCTGTCAGCCTCCCAAGTAGCTGGGATTACAGGCGTGGCCATTTATATTTTTAGTAGAGATGGGGTTTCTCCATGTTGGTCAGGCTGGTCTCCAACTCCCGACTTCAGGTGATCTGCCCACCTCGGCCTCCCAAAGTGCTGGGATTACAGGCGTGAGCCACCACGCCTGACCTAAAATTCAGTCTTTCTTAGTTGAATTGTATTATGTTTGGCTATCATGACAGAAAATGTGGTGCCATCTTTGATTTTTACGCTAGTTTACTGATTATTATCTCATCGATAAGTCTTGCTGATATTATATACCCCTTTCCTTAATTCCCTTTGGGGCCACTCCTGAGTCCTTATCTCCTTACCACTAGAGTGTAGCAGCATTCTAATTATTCTCCAGCCTATGATCTCTTCCTTATCTTATTCTGCATAAACCTACAAGAGCTATAGTTCAAACATCTTGGCTTTGTTATGTTGATGATGCTATGGAAAATAAACTGATCGTTCTTTATTGTTAGCTGCGTCAAAATTAGCTCAGACCAGAAGATTGCACAAGTACAGGGCATATATACATTTACTCCTCCTCTTTTAGCCTTCTATTCAAGATATGTGAGAAAATTCTGAGTTAAAAATCAAAGGTTTCCATGTAACTCAAATTGCCCTGGCTCTGGCCTTCAACTGCTTGCAGAAACTCCAGCCTCCTGCAAAGAACATCCCCGACTCAATTATTTCTGAGAGCCCCCATGGGGAGTCCCACACCTGTTTAGAAATAAGTCCAATCCTATGATATTCCACCAGGTGCTGCTTCTACTCCATGCTGCTTTACCAGATGCCCATCTGTCCTGGTAATGTTAAAAATACTTGATGGTGAATGGAGGGAAATAATTTTCTCTTCCCTCTTATTATAGCCCTAATGTGCGACAGTATTAATGAAACAGTTCTCTCAGTTTTACTTATGTAGTCCTTTATGTAGTCCTTTTTCAAAGTGAGGGCAAAATGTGATTCCAGGTAGGTTGCACCAGAAGTGAACGTAAGAAATATATAACATCTTCAACTTAGAATCCCTGCTTCCCTAGTCTTATGGCCAATGGTTAAAATTTTGTCATTGGATCACATATATTATGCCTGCCTCATTCTTTCCTTAGAACTTTTCTCAGAAATACTTCTGCCCTGCCAGCCCACCAGTTTGTCAGACATCTGTCAACTCTAGTTCTCAAAGTATGGTTTTTGGGTTGGTAGTATCAGTATCACCTGGGAACTACTTAAAAATGAAAATTCTCGAGCCCTACTCCAGATCTACAGAATCAGGAGCTGTGTTTTTTTTTTTTGTTTTTGTTTTTTGTTTGTTTTTGAGACGGAGTCTCGCTGTGTCGCCCAGGTTGGAGTGCCGTGGCCGGATCTCAGCTCACTGCAAGCTCCGCCTCCCGGGTTCACGCCATTCTCCTGCCTCAGCCTCCGGAGTAGCTGGGACTACAGGCGCCCGCCACCTCGCCCGGCTAGTTTTTTGTATTTTTTAGTAGAGACGGGGTTTCACCGTGTTAGCCAGGATGGTCTCGATCTCCTGACCTCGTGATCCACCCGTCTCGGCCTCCCAAAGTGCTGGGATTACAGGCTTGAGCCACCGCGCCCTGCCAGAGCTGTGTGTTTTAACAAGACTTCTGGGTGATTCTGATCTTTGATAAAGTTTGAGAATTACTACTCTAGCATTGGGGGAAGCAACCCCTTCTGACTTACGTGACAAATAAATAAACCTGAGCAAGAGACAGCGAGAGGCTTCTAAATTCACCCTCCATATTCACTGTTATTTTTCATTACTCTTCTGGAACTATGCAATCCTCCAGAACTATGCAATGCTCTTTTGGCTGTGTTTTTCTATACACTTTTCCTTGAGAGGGGTGTGTGTGTGTGTGTGTGTGTGTGTGTGTGTGTGTGTGTGTGTAGATAGACAGATATACTTTCAAAGTAATGTCTAAGACTATATTTATCATTCTGACGTCAAATTGTTTTTGGTTCTTGTCAGTCTCATGTTTTTTTTTCATATTAGTATCATTCTCTCAGTCAGTCAAGTGGTTCTGTTTTATTTTTCTCACAGTCAAGAAGTCCTATTTTGAATTTGAAAGGTTTCATTCTTTCGCCCAGACTGGAGTGTAGTGGCACAATCAGAGATCACTATAGCCTTGAACTCCTGGGTTCAAGCGATCCTCTCACCAGTCTCCTGAGTAGCTAGGACTATAGGCATGTACCACCTCACTTGGCTAAAGAGAATGGGGTCTTGCTGTGTTGCCCAGGCTGGTCTCAAACTCCTGACCTCAAACGATCCTCCCCACTCAGCCTCTTACAGTTTTAGGATTACACCACGCCTGGCCTAATTTTGCTTTCTTAAGACAAAACCTAAACATACCCATTTTATAAAAACTAGTAAACCACTGTTTTCTTCAAAGGCTACTACTAAATCAATGGTGTATCTTACAATTGAGGGTATCTTAGAATTGGGGAAATATGTCCTCTCTTCTGCTGTTTTTATGCGTTGACACTGACTTTCCAGCAGTACCTGGTCTTTTATTTTCACTACATCCCTTACTATGTTTGTTTAAAACGGCGGTTGCCAAACTTTAGTGTAATTAACTCCCATGTGGGAAGTCTATTAAAATGGGTTTCTAGGCTCTATCCCCAGGAACTCTTTTCAACGGAACTGGAGAAAAGCTCTGTAATCTGCAGGGGTTTTTGTTTGTTTGTTTGTTTGTTTTTTGAGATGGGGTCTCACTGTGTCGCCCAGGCTGGAGTGCAGTGGGGGTATCAGGGCTCACTGCAGTCTTGACCTCCTGGATTTAAGTGTTTCTCCCTCCTCAGCCTCCAGAGGAGCTGAGACCACAAGGGTGCGTCACCATACCTGTCTAATTTTTAAATTATTTGTGGAGATGAGTTCTCTCTATGTTGCCCAGGCTGGGGACTCTGCGATTTTGATAAGCATCCTAAGTAACTCTAATGCAGTTATTTCCTGAGCTATACTTTGAGGAACACTGACCTAGAATGATATCAGGCAAAAACTACTTGCATCGTTGAGAAGTATAGTTTTGTTAATATGCAAACAGTAAGAATTCGGACCCATTTGGTTTATAATCACAATAATGAACCTCATAATTTTCACTGACTGTCTACGATGTGGTGCTTTGGGGCACAAAAGAGAATATGAAGCATAGTCATATGGAGGCAACCCAATGTAGCCAAAAGTGTGATGAATGGAGACTACAAGAACCTGGTCCTGCCACTGACTAATTTTACAAGCTTGGGTAAAAGTAAATTCATAAATTTACTTCAGTTTTCACATTTTGTAAAAGAAACGAAAAAAGGAAGACTATACTTTCAGGGATCATTTCTATAGTTCGTTACTAGAGAAGTTTCTCTGAATGTGTAGAACATCAGAAACCATGAGGAGGAGGCAGTGTTGTCTCCCGAGCGTGAAGCCGGGTCCTGGTGTTGCTTCGCTGCAACTGCCATTTGCCATTGATTATAGTTTTTCTCTTCCTTTGGGAAAGTAAGAGGGAAAGGATGCAGTCTGAGTGGTTCCTATTAAAAAAAACAAAGAAAGAAAGAAACAAAAAAACCAGGAGGAAAATAGCTTGGATGATTTTGCTATGTGGTACTGTAGATGAAATGGAACTTATAATAAAGAGTTTATAAATTATAAATATATTTTTAAATATATTCTTATTGCCACTGCCCTCAAGTTGGTTAGGAAGACAAAACGTAAGTGTCTATAAGTAAAATAAAAATATGACCCCTATAGGCAGTGCTTAAGGGGTAGTATGAAGTGCCTCTCAGAAAGATAATTAAATAATCAAATCAACAGAATAAATCAGCTTAGCTATTTTTGTTTGTTTGTTTGTTTGTTTTAGATGGAGTTTCGTTCTTATCACCTAGGCTGGAGTGCAATGGTGCGATCTCAGCTCACTGAAACCTCCACCTCTTGGGTTCAAGCAATTCTCCTGCCTCAGCATGCCTGGCTAATTTTTTCTTTCTCTTTTTTTTTTTTTTTGACGGAGTCTCACTCTGTCGCCCAGGCTGGAGTGCAGTGGCACGATCTGGGCTCGGCTCACTGCAACCTCCACCTCCTGGGTTCAAGCAATTCTCCTGCCTCAGCCTCCCAAGTAGCTGAGACTACAGGTGCCCACCACTATACCTGGCTAATTTTTTTCTTTTTTTTTTTTTCTGAGACAGAGTTTCACTTTTTTGTCCAGGCTGGAGTTCAGTGGCACGGTCTCGGCTCACTACAACCTCCGCCTCCCGGGTTCAAGCAATTCTTCTGCCTCAGCCTCCCGCTTAGCTGGGATTGCGGGTGCCCACCACCACACCGGGCTGATTTTTTTTTTTTTTTGGATTTTAGTAGAAACGGAGTTGCACCATGTTGCCCAGGCTGGTCTCGAACTCCTGAGCTCAGGCAATCTGCGCATTTCGGCCTCCCAAAGTGCTAGGATTATAGGCGTGAGCCACCGTGCCCGGCCTAATTTTTTATATTTTTAGTAGAGACCAGGTTTGACCATATTGGCCAGACTGGTCTCAGAACTCCTGACCTCGTGATCTGCCCACCTCGGTCTCCCAAAGTGCTGGGATTACAGGCATGAGCCACCATGCCTGGCCTAATTCTGTGTTTTTAGTAGAAACAGGGTTTCACCATGTTGGCCAGGCTGGTCTGGAACTCCCGACCTCGGGTGATCCACCTGCCTCAGCCTTCGAAAGTGTTGGGATTACAGGCGTGAGCCACTGTACCCGGTCAGCTTAGCTATTTGTAACAGTTACCTTAGAAGACAAGATTTGTTCAGTGTTTAAAAGAAGTGAGAGTAAGGCTGGAAATAGAATCAAAGTCTGAATAAATGCAAAAAAAAAAAGTGGTCTAATCAATTATATTATTTCTAAAGAAATCATATAATAACAGGAAGGGAGATAGTGGTCTGCATGGAGTCCAGAGAATATCCCACAGCATAAGGGTTTGCTGAAGTGTGCTTTGATCACCATCTATTGTGGAGGTCCCTGAACATGTGGATGGTCTGGTACCAATCTATTCCCTCGATAGATTCGATTGTGGCATAGTAAGTTGAATAGTTGGATGAATTAGCCAGAAAAATCATTCAGTTAATTTTTTCTTCAGTGATGCCTTGCTTACTAAGCCACTTTGAATTATGCTTTAGCTTCTCAACTATTGATAAGACATAATGCATTGACTTGCTAACATGAATAGCTAACTCATAAAATTATGAGGTGACATTTTAAGACCTAAGTCCCTCAAGAGTTTATCTCCTTGTCATTTGATCAAATCAGGTTGCACTGAGAAAAATCTAGCTTCTGGGTCTTAAAAGCTAACAGGTAGATTCTGTACCATGGCAATGATAATAAGGATGGATTTACCCAGTAATTCAAAAGACTAGACTACAAGATTTGGAGTCAAACAACTTGGGTTAGAAGCCTGGTCTGCCTGTTTCCTCATCTGTTAAATGAAATATATCTACTTCAAAGCATTGTTACAAAGAGTAAATGGAATCATGTATATAAATTTCTTATCAAGGTGCCTGGTACCATGTCAGGAATATTGTTTTGGTAATCTGGAAATCCTCATAATAGGAACAAAATAAATACTTGTCAAATGAATGAACGATTATTATCATCGCCACCCTGTAAGCTTTTGGGGTGCCCTCTGCTTTGCCTCAAACTTTTCTATCTCTGCTCTCTTTAACACTGGGATAATAGAATTTCCAGAAAGTAACACATGATTAATTGCAGATGAGAGATATAAATAATAGGTGTTTCAGGCTAAAATGTGATTGAGATTACTATGGCAAGGGGGATCTAGGAAAAAACTTCAAAGACTATTGTGAACTTGGTCTAGTTTTTAAAATGGGTCATATACTCAAATACTGACAGGGATAACTGGGGTGGGGTTAGATTAGACAAACCCAGACCAAAGAGGGCAGCCTCTACTCAGTTTCTGCCAATTGATTCTGTGCAAGGATCTAGGTTGGCTTGACCTTTCAGTTTCCATGGAAAATCTAGAATCTTGGTTTAACCATGAAACCTTACAATTATTTAATATTGATGAATAATTGAGAAAAAAAATTTTGACCAGACACAGTGGCTCATGCCTATACTTCCAGCACTTTGGGAGGTTGAGGAGGGAGGATCACTTGAGCCCAGGAGTTCAAGACCAGCCTGGACAACATACAGAGATCCTGTCTCTACAAAAAAAAAAAAAAAAAAAAATAGCCGAGCACGGCAGTGCATCCCTAATACCTATATTCCCAGCTACTTAAGAGGATGAGGCAGGAGGATCACTTAAGCCCAGGAATTTGAGGCTGTGGTGAGTCCCACTATACTCCAGCCTGGGTGACAGAGCAAGACCCTGTCTTAAAAAAAAAAAAAAAAAAGAATGGGGATGATATTTAAAAAAATACAATACAGTTTGATAAAGCTACATTAGAATTATATAAATGGTAGCATTAAGTTTTGTCTAGAGGGGAAGTTTAAAATTTTACAGAAAGGAAGAAGCCTAAGCCATATATTTAACAATGTCTATTCCTTTACATTTTAAAGGAATGCCTTCTAATTGCTGTAAGTTACAAACACCATATTTCACCGTTCTCCTTTCCCCAGACGTGGATTTTTTTTTTTTTTTTTTTTTTTTGAGACAGGGTCTCACTCTATTGCCCAGGCTGGAGTAAAGTGGTGTGATCACAGCTCACTGCAGTCTCAACCTCCTGCACTCTAGTGATCCTCCCACCTCAGCCTCCCAAGTAGCTGAGACTACAGGCGTGTGCCACCATGCTCGGCTAATTGTTTTATTTTTTGTAGAGACAGGATCTCGTTGGTCAAGCATGGTGTTTCATGCTTGTAATCCCAGCACTTTGGGAGGTTGAGGTGGGCAAATTACTTGAGGTCAGGAGTTCAAGACCAGCCTGGCCAACATGGTGAAACCCTGTCTCTACTAAAAATACAAAAGTTAGCCAGGAATGGTGGTGCATGCTTGTAATCCCAGCTCCTTGGATAGCTGAGGCATGAGAATTGCTTGAACCCAAGACACAGAGGTTGCCTTGAGCCGAGATTTCACCACTGCACTCCAGCCTGGGTGACTAAGTGAGACTCTGTCTCAAACAAACAAACAAACAAACAAACAAAAAAGGCCAGGCACGGTGGCTCATGCCTGTAATCCTAGCACCTTGGGAGGCCGAGGTGGGTGGATTGCTTGAGCTCAGGAGTTCGAGACCAGCCTGGGCAACATGGTGAAACCCCTTCTCCACTAGAATACAAAAAATTAGCCAGGCGTGGCAGCGTGTGCCTGTAATTCTAGCTACGTGGGAGGTTGAGGCAGGAGAATTTCTAGAACCTGGGAGGCAGAGGTTGCAATGAGCCCAGATCGTGCCACTGCACTCCAGCCTGGGCTACAGAGCGAGACTCCATCTCTTAAAAGAAAAAAGAAAAAGAAGACAGGGTATTGTTATATTGCCCAGGCTGGTGTTGAACTCCTGGACTCAAGAAATCCTCCTGTTTTGGCCTCCCAAAGTGCTGAGATTACAGGCATGAGCCCCTGTGCCCAGGCCCAGAAGTAGTTTTTTAAAGTCCTTTTCTTCTCTGATTCTTCTTTTATACAGCAAGTAAAATCCTAACCAAAAAAGTGTGTTAAAATGAATTATTGAAAGCATTCTCTGAGCCTAATTTCATAGAATTTATAGGATAAATGGGAGAAGCATTTCTCCTGGAGGGAATAACAAGTGCAGAGATGTCAAAGAGGGAAGTGATGTGTGTTTGGGAAACCAACTGCAGTTGAACAGCAGCATATTGTGATTAAAGCACACGCTCTTGAGGCAGATCTAACTTTAGGCATTGGTTCTGCCATGCACCAGCTTTCTGACTTTGGGCAAGTTATTTAAGTTTCCATTACCTTACCATTCCTCGAACTCCTGACCTGCTATTACTGTTATTCTAATTTTTGTAACTGCTACTTTTAGAAGATAAAGTAAGAAAGAGCTGGCCATTGGGGACAGCAGACTTTTCATCCTAGAAACATGGCCCAGTTTGTCTAAAACCTTACTGAGAAGGCCCCAACACCACTGATGAACACTGCCGTGACTTACTTGAAGACCTGGTTGGCTATATTTTGGCACTGTGCCAAGGTTGAGCTGGTTCCTCCAACTCCTGCTTAGATTCCTAGTTATTCAGAGCTTACAAATAATAGCTGGGCATGGTGGCTCACACCTATAATCTCAGCACTTTGGGAGGCCGAAGGGGGTCAGATCACTTGAGGTCAGGAGTTCGAGACCAGCCTGGGCAACATGGTGAAACGCCATCTCTACTTAAAACAAAAAAAATAGAAAAATTAGCCAGGCATGCTGGCGTGTGCCTGCAATCCCAGCTACTTGGGAGCCTGAGGCAGGACAATCACTTGAAGTTGGGAGGCGGAGATTGCAGTGGGCAGAGATCATGCCACAGCATTCCAGCCTAGGCGGCAGAGCAAGACTCTGTCTCAAAACAACAACAACAAAAATCACTCAGTAACACTCAAACTGATAGCTTGAAACA